ACATTGGATTCAACGAGTTTTTAGTTTTAAATTTGTATACTCATTTTTTCTTTTTATTATTACATATACTTTAGAGTTGGAGTTTATTCATTTATCTTCTTTTTACTATTTCAATAATTCATTTCTTTGACTCTATCTTGTTCCTCAGACGTACTACTATTTTGTTCCATATTCTCTATATATTATACCATGTGGTTATTCAAGTTGGTTAGGATTATCTAGAAGATTCCTACCGACATGTGTTAGTTACAAATCTTGGTTGCATGGCAAACCCATTCCTCTTGTATTTATATCTTCGGTGAATTGATTTTAGTGTGTAATCTTTCCATTTCCTTTTCTGCTGTGCAAAGTTTATATGGTATCAGAGCACTCTAGGCTTTGATTCATCTTCTCTAAAATTTCAAGAACCGTCAAGATTCATTTCCGAAGCTTCAAGATTCATCAATGGCGCCAATGAATGTTTTAGTCATCAGAGCTGGAAATACATATCTCTCAAATAATCCAACCTCCCCAATCTATCTTCACCCATCAAATAATCTAGGTGTGATACTTGTGTCATGTTCAATGAAGAGAACTACCCCACCTAGAGATGCGCCATGCGTAATTCCCTACGGGAAGAGAACAAATATGGATTTGTAGACAATTCAATCAAGAAATCAGGGAGTTCTTTGTTTGAAGAGTTAGTATGGAGAAAATGCAACTCCATGGCCATTTCTTGGATTTTCAATTCGTTGGCTAAGGATCTTTATGACAACATAGAATATGTAGATTCTGCCAGTGAGAATTGGTAAGGATCATTATGACAACTCCATGGCCATTTCTTGGATATTTAATTCGTTTCCTAGATCTTCCATTTGAAGTGAGAATTGGTGCTTCTTAGAAAGGACAACTTGTTTGTTTCAACTTACTTCAGCAAACTAAAGGCTCTATGGGATGAGATCGCAACATATACAACAATTCCTATTTGTTCTTGTGGTAATTGCTTATGTAACATAATGAAAGAAGTCGTGGATGAGAGAGAACGAGAACGGATTTATCAGTTTCTTATGGGATTAGGAGAGAATTTTAGCATTCTGAGATCAAATATCCTCATTATGGATCCCTTCCCAAATGTTAGCAAAATTTATGCTTTGACAGTATAAGAGGAGAAGAACCAACTATTGGCTGGAACTCGTACTCCCTCAATTGATATTGCTGCTCTCCATGTAACTGATCAAAGAAAGCCAAGGTAGAAATCTAATTGCCCAAAGCTGAAATGTGACCATTGTTATAAGACTGGGCATACTAGAGATCGTTGCTACCAATTAGTTGGATATCCTCCAAGCCAGAATATCAAGAATAAACAACCTCAATCGAAGAATGGAGTCCTACAACAAAAATCTAAGAGAAAAGGTTCTATAGATGTGGCAAGTTCTAGTTCTCCTGTTGCAGGCCTAACTGCAAAGCAATATAAGCAACTGATAGACCTTCTCAGCATTGAACAATGATCAATCTCTGCAAATCTTGTAGGTAAAATCCCCAAGTCTACTGCCTTACATGATTCTTTATGGATAATTGTTAGTGGTGCATCACACCACATGCCACCATGCCCTCTTGAATCAATTGTTAAGTCGGATTCTAAACCTATGTTATTGCTTGCTGGCAATTCTTTAATGGTTCATGGTCATGACACTACTTCACCATTCCCGAATGAATATATTCAAAACACTCTCCTTGTTCATGATTTCAATTGCAAACTCCTCTCTATAAGTCAACTAACCAACTAGTTGCAATGTGCTATCATTTTCTTTTCCACCTTTTGTGTGGTATCGGACCTGACCACAGAGAATATGATTGAACTGAGTAAGATGAAGAACGACCTTTACCATCTTGTTGGACTGTCCACACCATCATTATCTGAATCTGACTCCTAAGTTTTTTCTTCTGTTTGTTCTTCCAATTCATCAATAATGTGACATCACAAAATGGCCCACACTTCTTATGATAGACTGTCACTAGTCCTAGATTTGTGTTTGCCTAGTCAATGTTCTACATGCTGTGATGTCCGTAATCGAGCCAAACTAACTCGAATTCCTTTCCTAGTACTGATTCGTTTTGATATATGGGACCCATACAAAACCCCATCTCTATTCGATGCTCACTATTTTCTTAGTATTGTAGATGATTTTTCTCGTGCAACTTGGGTGTTTTTAATGAGATTTAAGTCTAAGACTTAAATTCCTTTCACTTTTCCATGCTATGGTAAAAACTCAGTTCAATACTTGCATTAAGATCGTTTGATCCGATAATGGGTTGGAATTTTTGTCAGGACCCATGACAGAATTCTTTCTTCAAAATGGCATTGAACACCAAAGATCGTGTGTTGATACACCACAACAAAATGGTGTTGTTGAAAGAAAAAACATATGCATCTATTTAAGATGGCTCGTGCTCTTTGTTTTTAAGTTGGCCTCCCTATTCGTTTTTGGGGTGAATGTATTTTTACAACCACATATCCCATTAATAGACTGCTGACCCCCTTGTTGGACAACAAGACTCCTTATAAAATGTTGTATGACAAACAACCCTCATATACTCATCTTCGGGTATTCGGATGCTTGTGGTATGCACACAATCTTGGGAAACTTGATAAATTTTCTCCCCGTGCCCAATGTTGTGTGTTTCTTGGGTATCCACATGGCCAAAAAGGCTATCGGGTTTATAGTGTGGACACTGGCTCTATATTTGTATCCAGAAATGTTCGATTTTATACAACTTTCCATTTTGGGGTCAAGTTGATAGTGAGGGGGCACCATGTCGGATCATTCCTCTACCTACCATGGATGATAATGAAACCACATATGCTGAAACCATTCTTGATCGTACACCTCCATCATATATTGAACCTGTTCATGATGAACCCACTCCCATCAATGATCCTCCACCCACTGAACCGAGTCCACAACATCCTTGCTCACATAGACACACTCGGCCACCACTTTCTTAAGGGACTTCATTTGTTCTACCATACATTCTCATTCCACTGCACACCCAATTTCCAACCATCTCATTTAACTTTCTAGTTCAAATGTCTTACACCCACTTGAACCAACCACATACAAACAAGCCATTCTTGACCCAAATTGGAGGAAAGATATGTTAGAAGAACTTGTTGCACATGCACGCAATAATACATGGGAATTGGTTTCTTTACCAAGTGGAAAGACACCCATTGGGTGCAAGTGGGTCTATAAATTGAAGCTGAAACCGGATAGGTCCATTGATCGATATAAAGCCCATTTGGTTGCATAGGGCTACATACAAACGGAAGGGATTGATTATAATGAAACTTTCTCTCCCGTGGCAAAATTAGTGACTGTACGTTGCTTATTAGATCTTGCCTCTGTTTGTGGTTGGGAGCTTCACCAAATGGATGTTCATAATGCGTTTCTCCATGGTGATCTTCACGAAGAAATTTACATGGTACCACCACATGGTTTTCTCAAAGATGGTGATACTCGGGTCTGTCGTCTTACTTGATCTCTGTATGGGCTCAACCAAGCTTCTCAGAGTTGGTTTGAGAAACTCACTTCTTCTCTTCTGTGGCATGGTTTTACTCAATCCATCTCGTATTGGTGGCCTCAAACTCTACTTAAACAAATGTTTTCACATCAAAGACTTGGGCCCACTACACTACTTCTTGGGGCTTGAAATTGAACGGTCACCATCAGTTATTTACCGTTTGTCAACAAAAATATACTCTTGACATACTACAAGAAACAAGCATGTTGGGTTGTACGCCTAGTCCTTTCCCCATGACTCAACAACAACATCTTGCAGTTAATGATGGGCCTTCATTTAAATTTCCAGATCGTTATTGTTGTCTTATTGAACGCCTCATCTACTTGACAACTACCAGGCCCAACATCACTTATTCAATTCATCTTCTTAGTTAGTTCATGAGCTCACCCAAACAAGTTCAATGGGATGCTACTTTATATCTTTTTTGTTACTTAAGAGGCACCCTAGACCAAGTCATATTTTTTTCATCATCAAGTGATTTGATCATCAGAGGCTTTTGTGACTTAGATTGGGCCAGTTGCCCACTTACGCTCCGCTCTACAATTGGGCTGCTCTACATGTTGGGTATTGCCCCATTATCATGGAAACCAAAAAGGTAGCCTATAGTATCTAGATCATTCATTGAAGCGGAATATTGAGTTATGGCTGTAGTTACATGTGAGTTAATATGGCTCCAATAATTGTTTTTTGACCTTGGCCTTCGTCATTCACAACCCATACAACTTTTTTGTGATAACAAAGCGGCTTTACACATTGCAATAAATCCGGTGTTTCATGAGCATACAAAACAAGTCGACGTGGACTGTCACTTCATTAGATAGCACATCCAAGCCAAGCATATTGTTACATTTCATCTCTTTTCTTCTCAACAACTGGCTGATGTATTCACGAAAGCTTTGGTTCATGATCACTTCAATCTTCTATTACCCAAGTTGGGCATGTTTGGCTTTTCTCCCACACATGCACCAACTTGAGGCGAGGGGGCATATTACACCATGTGATTATTCAAGTCAGTTAGGATTATCTAAAAGATTCCTACCGATATGTTTTAGTTACAAATTTTACTTGTGGCAAATCCATTCCTCTTGTATTTATTTATATCTGCCAATGAATTGGTTTTAGTGTGTAATCTTTCCATTTTCTATTCTTCTGTGCAAAATTTATTCTGTAGTTTGTAATATGCTTATACAAGCTATATTATATATAGCTTATTTCATCGCAACCAAATCCAATGATCCAATCGAATCGGATTATAAATGGATATCTGATTGAATTGAATTCAAATATAAAAATATACCAGATCCATCGCCCATCGGATTCAATTCTAACGAATGTGCAGATCGTCGAATTCGAATTGAAATCTAATTCGCATAACGTCCCACATAGAAGAGAAGCAAGACAGTCCAGCTAACGACTGCCTATATAAGTGACCCGGCACAAGTGGGTGCGTTACGCAGCCGCGCGGTGAGCACAGAGCTAACTATTCTTTCGCCTTTTACTAAAGAATACCGTGTGCTCGCCGCTGAAAGCGGCATACGCCAATTTTTAGAGGGCTTTTTCCGTCATCAGGAGATGTCCAACCAATTTTAATTCCTAAAGAATTCATGCGATGTATTTGTCAAGACATCTTTTCTGTTCTGAGTCCTAAGAACTATCAACGAATTACAGGCCTACGGATTCCTGTTTTTGTGTTTTCACTTGTTCTTCTACAATTTTTAGAGGGCTTTTTCCGTCATCAGGAGATGCCCAACCAATTTTAATTCCTGAAGAATTCATGCGATGTATTTGTCAAGACATCTTTTCTGTTCTGAGTCCTAAGAACTATCAACGAATTACAGGCCTACGGATTCCTGTTTTTGTGTTTTCACTTGTTCTTCTACTCGCTGCCTTCTTAATTCTTAAATCTAACCAACCGTGGGAAATTAGTTGGCACTGTAAGAACTGTTTGGATGGTTAGTACATCGTCTTCTTTTTAGGACCTAACTACTGTGAGAATTTAGTGCCTTGTAAATGGTGGTCTGGTCAAGAGCTTCGTCTTGTTTGTGTTCTAGGCTTCCAGCGTTGGGAAGGTAAAAGGCTACTCGTTCGCTTTCCAATTTAAAAGGGCGAAGCAGATGTACGGAAAAAAAGATCATTAGAGCTACGAATTTTTGACTGCCAAGTGTTCGATGATTCGTTTCTTAGCCTTACATTTGAGAACTTGGGTATTTCAATTTGTTCAATATCTGATGCACCATTCATTGGTTTTCCAAATTCAGCAGCTAGAATTGTGATTCAATCCAACAACGTAGAAAATACAGTTGAATGGCGGTAATGTTCTTAAGAAGAAGCTGTACATTATCAGGGAATTTTACTGCTCTTTCGAGGGGGTGTACGTTCTGCTCGTGGGCGTCCAGGGTTCTAGATAATGAGTGTGGTGATAAGCAATCAATGTCAAATGACAACCGTGGAAATAGTCTCGCCGTTGGTTCTCCAACTTATTTGAGCCAGGTTCATCATCTCTCTTCCTTGCTTTCCTCTGATAGAGTTCAACTGGAGGATGTTAAAATCGACCTTGTAGACATTGAAAGTTGGCAGGTTTCTTCTGGATTATCTCAAGCATGGAGAGGAACGTATGAAACAACAGCAACACAATCGTCCTCGACAGAAAATCTAGATGGGCTGCTGCATGTCTCCCATGTAGTTGAGGATGAGGGCCATGAGGCCGATTTTGATGAGATTGAGGACATGAGAATTAGGGGCAACCTCTTTTATAAACTGGATAGGGATTCTAAGGAGTTTGAAGAGTACAATATCAGCTGGCGGAAGAAGTCCTCAAAGAAGAGTGGGGAGAAGAATAGAAAAGAGAAGCCAAGCAAAAACAAGGAGAACCCAAATTGTAGGTCGGCCTCTGGTGTTGAAAAACTTCCAGAGCTTGTGAAGAACAAACCAAGTGCTCCTCCTCTCGAGGCAATAGAAGGTTCTTGTACTGCTAAGAAGGTAAGGACTCCGACATTTAATCAACTCACTGGCCCTTACCATGAGCCATTTTGCTTGGACGTTTACATATCAAAGAGCTCTGTTCGTGCCTGTATTGTGCACCGGGTGACTAGCAAGGTTGTTGCAGTGGCACACTCAATTTCCAAGGACATGAAATTTGACTTGGTGTCAACCAAAGATTCTACGGCTTGTTCTACTGTAGGAAAAATTCTTGCTCAAAGGGCGTTAGCTGATGATATCCATGATGTTGTTTACACACCAAGAAAAGGGGAGAAATTGGAGGGGAAGCTTCACATTGTTCTTAAGTCTATTATTGATCATGGCATCAATGTGAAGGTGAAGATTAAGCAGAAAGGAGCTAAGAAAGTAGGCCAATCCTCAAATGGTTCCATTCGATTTTGATGTGATCCAATTGCTCTGGATTTCTCTCTATTTCAACTGTGTTATATGGCATTGCTATTATCTGTTCGATGATCGTGGAGTGATCTCTTCCTTATCCAGAATTTAAAGATGGCAATAGAGAAGATCTTGGGGACAGACTTGGTCTACTGTAGGATTAGTTTCTGGGAGCAATTGATTTGTTATGTTGCTTTCATTGTTTGAATGTATGTTCGTTTTTTGTGGGGTGAAATCTCTGTCTATGCATTATAATCTTTTTCTTTAATGAAATTTTACTTAATAGCATGATTTGGTCATGCGATTCTCCATTTTAATTCCCAGTTTGCATGGTTCTTTTGCAGAATGACCACTATACTTGTATCTCTGGAACAAATTTAACTTCTTTGTAAATGAGATAATACGGTGTTTCTTGTGTATACTCAGACGTTCTTTCCTCCATTTCAGAACTTTTTTCACTTTGAGGTTCCTCTGTTTTACTGAGGGAGGGAAGGTGGGGGTTGAAGATCTACTGGGACGTTTCCCATATAATGGAATGAGTTACTGGGCATTTAAAGAAGAAAAGCAATTTTTTCTAGTTTTTATAATCCATTCATAGATCAATATCCACATTGAGATTCTGGTGCAAGATGAAGGAGAAGATATTGGTGAAGCCACTGGGTTAAGAAAACTGAATTGGCAGAGGTCTGCAAGCCACCGGGGAAAGGTGGGGGAGGGGGGAAGGACCACATCATTTTTTGTAGGCAGAACCAGAGGCTGCCACTTGATGGATTATATAGGATTTGCTGGCCCATATTTAAATTGGCACTTGGAGGCCAGACACAGTACGCTGAATAGCATTTTTAGAGTCATGAAATAATAATAAAATTGTTAAGGTTGCATTGGGTTGGAGCTATTATCTCAGTTTTGTTTTAGACTTTTAGTTGCTCATTTCAACTTCACCCAGAATTCAGAAGACAGTTATCTGCTTACTTGCTGATCCAGGGCATTGGTAGAATTTGCTTGCTTCTAAAGGTTTGCATGCCTTTTTGATGAGGCAGGTTGATGTGCTGAGAGTAAAGGGGAAGAGGAGGCTACAATCTCCCCACACTTTCAAAGAACTGTAAGTGCTGGGTGGCTGCCTGTTCAATTGCTAGAGGTGATTGAAATTTGTTGGTTAGGAGAATCTGTTTTCACAGGCTGCATTTGTAGAGGAAGAATCTTGCCAAAGAAGGGATCATAAAGAGAATGATTAATCTCCTTGATTGGGGAATATTGTTGGATTTTACTGCGAGCAACTGATGCTTGTTTCTGAAGGCTTGCTTACCTCTTTGATTGGGCGGGTTGGATCATAACGAGAATGATTAATCTCCTTGATTGGGGAATATTGTTGGATTCTAAAAAATAATATGGCTTAGTACTTGGAAAATCTTACTGCGAGCAACTGATGCTTGTTTCTGAAGGCTTGGTTACCTCTTTGATTAGGCCGGTTGATGTGGCTAAGAGTAAAGGAAAAGGCTACAATCTCCCCACACTTATAAGTTACAAAGAACTGTAAATGTTGTCAGGCTGCCTGTTCAATTTTTAGAGGTGATTGAAATTTGTCAGTTAGGAGAATCTGTTTTCACAGGCTGCATGTAGGCACTTGGAAGAATTTGTCGGCTGTGCCAGAGGTGAGGCAGAATTTTGCCAAAGAAGGGATTATAAAGAGCATGATTGATCTCTTTGATTGTGGGATATCGTTGGATTCTAAAACGTAATACAGCTTAGTGCTTAGGAAATCTTACTACAAGCAATTGATACTTGGTTTGTGGAGCAAGGAGCCTGTTAGCATTCTACAGTAGGGGGTCTGCAGAATCTATTGGTTTTGGTATCAATTGAAGTTCCAGTTCTTCCACATTTGGTTCATGTACTTAAAGCTAGATTCTTGGTTACACATCAAGCAGCTCCCTCTGCAGTTTGTAAGGTTTGCAGCTTGACAGGAATGAAGAGATTAGTGAGGTGAAACTGGGTTTATCTTCTGGTTGTGAAATGGCTCAATACTAAAGATAAATAATGCATAAGGGATTGCTGCAGAATCAATATCCAACTTCAAGATTACTGGAAAGGTATGAGAACAGAGTTTCATATTTGGTCCAGTTGCTTTACTTAAGTCCTCAGAATACAGCCAAGAAGTATATAGTTTCCTGTCTCACATCTCTGTTGAATAAGAAATGTATGAGGTTGATGATCTCATATGAAGTTATAAGGTATATCAAGAACCTTTCTGAGAAGCTGCTTGAACAATTATAAAAGAGAAAAGCTTGGGAAGTTTATTTAACAGGAAATAGAGGCATAATTTTCGTCTGTGCAATGGAATGTTGTCAGGAATCTTTTGCTAGATGCTTCACCCGTGGTATGAAATAAAGTAACTAAACTTATCAAAATGAATGGTTCTTTCTTCGGCATTATTTTTTCCTTTCATACTCGGGGCTAAGACATTGGGTTGAAATTCAGTAATATATATTCTACAGGAAAACCCACCTAAGGCTTAACCCTTCCCTTACCTCCTTAACTCCTTTCTGGGTAAGGGCAAGCCTACAAATGTGGCTTCCCCCTTCTGTGGGGAAATGAAGTACTCTAAAGGGGTGATTTGTTTGATCTTGTAGATGATTCAACAGTAGTTCCTATATCTGGTATGCTCGCTATTCTCAGAATTACAGACACAAAAAAAAAAAAAACTAGGCTCCTGTTTTGTAGGAGGTTGTAAATATCCACTTCAAACACACGTATTTTAGAGGACAGATTTTTCGATTTTGTTCTGCATCTTACATTCCGACGATGGAAGCAACAAATGTGGTCATAATTGGAGACCATGTGATTGATCCTGAGTCCTGAAACTCAAAATCAGTGCGATGAAAGAGACATGATCACTGCTTGAATGGTAACATTACTTCAACCCGCATTCAGAAACAACCAACTGTAATAACAAAACTAATAATCTTCAATCAATCTATTTCTCTCTCAAAACTCATAAACAACTGCAGTAGAGGTTGTGGAACTAAAAAAAACAAGCTTCATTCTATTATTCTCTCCAAGTGTCCAAATTACAAAAAAGGGGGAGGGGGGAAGTAATAGGTACAGACATTCGCTGCTTTGCACCTAATCATTTGCAGTTGCCAATTGCAGCGACAGCAATTCTTCTTCAGGGATGGTCCGAATGTGACAATCAGATCGAGGGTAAGAAGCACAGAGCAGTGTGTACCCGCGTTCAACGACATCGTCACTGAGCATGCCTTCGCTCTGATCAACCTCGCCGCTCACCAGTCGAGCCGGACACGTCATGCACACACCAAGCTTACAGTCATGTGGGACGGTCAAGCCGGAGTCCAGTGCCTTGGCGAGGATAGTTTCATCTGGGTCTACATCGATGGTTGTGGCGCGACTGTCGTGCTCGATTGTCACCTTGTAAGACCGAATTACGGTAGACAAGGAGTGGCTGACTGGTTCGAGACGGTGTGGCTTGAAGCTGAAGGCAGAGCGGTTGGTGGGTCGGTACTTGTGTGCCAGTGCTGGAGAAATGCAGAGATGAAGCGTCGCCATGTTTTTTGAGAAGGGAGGAGGGTTAGTAAGCGGAGGTTTTCTCTCTCTCTCTAGGTGGCCAGGGGGATATGCGGTCCGGAGAAGATAAGGTTTTTTTAGCTGTATTAGAGCTGAGGGCGTAAACTAAAAAAATGATCGATTCATGCTTTTGTTTCTGCTACTGCCCCTTACTGCCTTACATGCTACAGCTGTTGTAGAGAGTTGAGACTTCGAGACTAAAGAAGTAGTAGTCAGTTTGGAATCAGAATTCAGAGCTGCTCTTCTTTTGTACTGGATGGATAAAGCCTCAATGGTCTGGATTTTAAGCGCCTAAAATTTGGATAAAATTATTTCAATCTGACGGTTTTTGTACTGGGCCTTTAAATCTGGTGATCGAGGAGTTTTATCTTGATGATAGATTTCAGTTCGATGGTTTTCTGGGATCGGCCAAGGTTTTCTACACAGGGTTTTTGGAAAGGGTTAATTACTTAAATATATTCTGTGGATTGACGAAAATATTTAAAATTACCATATGGTTTACAAAAATTACTTAGATATATATCTTACCCCACATTACACATAAACTCATGGTTGGGGAAACGTTTAGTAGGGGTGTTCAACAAAACCGAAAAATCGAAATTAATGAAATTAAAAATCAATGATATCGATTAGGTTAACTGAACCATGAGCACCCTTAGGCGTTTAGGGTCATTTTACATGCCTTTTACCCCTTTCGCCATCTCTTCTCTTCCCATTCTCTTTTTATTTTGTCTTCTCCAGATTATGTGCTCTATGAAATTTTAGACACTAGTTCTTGAGAAGTAAGGACGAAGTCCAATCGTCGCCTGCAGTTTATTGCATGGTTTTCAAAACTGGATCACATTAGATGGTTAGATCAGAAAAACCAGGAATCGGTCAGGTGATTGGTTTCGTTTTACCCTAGAATTATTATTTCTCCAAAAACTGTTAATTTGGTTAACATATTGTCGATTCAGGTGGTCAAATTGTTTGAACCGTTCAACGGTTTGCCTGGTTTTTTTTTTTTTTTTAATTTTTTATTAGAACGGACCATCCGTTTGATTTAAACAGTCAGACCGTTTGACCCAGGAAGTAGATCCCTGACTGATTCGTTGTCCGATTCAATTTTAAAAACCTTGGCTTATTGTTTGCATATTATTGACGTTTGCAATTGGTGGTTGATAGTTCATTTGAGGATGGAAGCTTACTGCCATTCAATCTCGTTTCCAAGGACTAAGTTTCTAAAATTAGGCCACATCGTGTAGGAAGTGTCTATCGATACTATTAATAATAAATGGAGGATAAAAATGTAAAACTCAAAAAGAGAATAATTTAGTTGTAAGATATCAAATGAAATTTGGGAGATAATAATTTAATTGTAGAATAGAGTAATAGGAAACAAGGTTAGAGAAGTTAAAAGAAAATGAGAAATTTGAATTTATTGGTTAAGTTGTGTCTAAGACACTGTTATTAAGCAAAATTTCGCCTTCTCTATATTCAAGTCAGATGCATATAGGTATATAGGCGTCCTACTCTAGGATTCAGTAACCTTAGTGGCTGGCATAACTATGCACTTGAAAATATTAGGTCACACGAACTGCAGCAATCTTTCAATGGGAAAATGTCAAAATCTGGATCTGATCTGACATAATTGCAGCCCTATAACATATCTTATGGTAGGGATGCAAATAGATCGATTGGATTCGAATAAGGGTATATTCGAATCTGATCCGACACTGTTTATGTCGATCCAATCTGAAGATCCGATCAGATCAGATAGGATTCGATTTGAATTCGAATCCTATCGGTAAGTTGGATCTGATCCGATCCGACTTGTTTTCTTTAAAAATTAATAAATTATTAACAGAAAAATAAAATATACTAATTTAAATAAAATATAAATATAAATATTTTTTAATTATTTTTATTATATATATACATGTTTTTTTAATAATATAACAAATTTATAAAAATATAATGAAAAATATATTTATAAATAACATATATATATATATATATGTATGTATGTATTATATATAATATCGGATCGGATAGGGGGGATCCGAATCTGATCCAAGTTCAACCAAATAGAATTGGATCTCGGATCAAATCATGATTCATTTGTACCCCTATCTTATGGAGTCCAATTCTGATTCCCATATGAACCAAATAGGTGGAAGGGAAAAAGCGATTTCGATCCTGATTTTGAATGGAAACCTAATAGACTAAGACTTTTTGGTAGGTAAGGAAGAGAAATTGTGTTATTTACTTTGATCGGGCAAAATGCAGCAAAATTTATGACTAAGAATCGATTATTTATTGCATCTGTTTGGCATCATTGTCGTTGCTCCAGAAAACAGTGATATATCAGTGTCACGTCAGAAAAAACGGTGCTCCAGAAAATGCCTGTATGTTTGAAACCATTATTTCATAAAAAATGGTACTCCAAGCCACACCTTGAAAATCGGGAAGGCGTGGTTTGGAGCAACGCTGAATTTGGCATTTCCTGGAGTTGCAGCTCATTGCTGCCAATAGGGACATGTGGTGGCAGTGACAGGGACATGGCATGGCACTGGATAATATGTGCCAGTGCTGAAAACATTTCTTGGAGCATTGGTACCAAACAGAAAATGTTGTTGTTGCTCCAGGAAACGTCCTATATGGCAGCAACGTTTCCAAACAAAAAATGACACCGTTTTCTGAGAAAACGGTACTTCTAACCCACACATCAGCAGCACCACTATATCTGCAGCATCGATGCCAAGCATATACTTAAAAGACAATTAAGTTAAAGAAAATGATTTTGATTAGTCTGAGACGTAATAATTGGGAATGGGCTTTGGGAGTTAAAGCCCAAGGCCCCAGGCCCATTTGGGAGGGCTGAAGCGTTGGTTCAACTGCTTTTATTGAACTGCTTTGTCTTTTGTAATGAGCTTATTTGGAGTTCAAATCAGCCCCCTACCAGATTGCCCCCCACAATGTCCCACAACACATCCCCGCTGTGTATTGTGAACATCTCCCGATGATGACATATCACTTCTGGTATCATCATCAGGAGATGTTCCCAATACACGGCTTGAATGTGTTGTGGGGGACTGATTTGCTCTCGCTTATTTGATGAATGCTAGCTTTCTGAGTGTGTCTTTTGGAAAAAAAAAAAAGCAACAGGTAGGCTCTTTTTCTTGGGTGCAGGAGTTTTTCACTAAACATTGCTTCATGATGTTCATGTGGAATCCACCTTATAAGCCAAAAGCCATCATAGGAAAGCTGCCTAAGCAAACATGTTTTATCGGCTTCAGTTAGTGCAAGACCGGTTCGAACAGCCTTGCATTGGGAATATCTTCGTACTTGTGTGTTTTATTTCAGGGGGAGATATTCTCAATGCAAGGTTATAAAATCTGTTCGAACGGGCCTTGCACTGACTGAATCCGATTTCCTTAAAAGATGTCTTTGACTTCAAATTACTATGTTTTTAAAATTAATTCTTATCAAATGCTTAAAATAGTTTTTGGTTAGTTTTTATTTTCCATAATCCAATGTTCAATTTCTTACAGAGAGATAAAATAGGGGTGATCATGGGCTGGGCAGGACCGTGCTATATGCTGCACTATGGTTGCATCAAATATGGATCAGCTCCAATCCTATCCTATATGTTCCGATGCTAGTCATTGAATCCTCTGTGAATATCTAAAATTCACATGACTAGTGATGAAAATAATACAAATGAAGCAAATTTGGTGAAGGTTTTTGTTGCAGTCCAAATTCGGGCAACAGATAAAGGAGGAGGAAGGGGATAAAATTGAGGTGAGTGAACGGATCAAGTTGCTTCTAAAGGCCTGTAAGACAGAAGAGAGTCTTGAGGTATGTCCCCAGAGTGAGCTCTCCGATGCTCAAATTAGTAGGTAGGCAATGGGTTAAGGGAAGCTGGTTGGCGAGGAAAGCAAGAGAGTAAGAAGGCAAGAGAGGGCTATATTGCACATACTTATTTTCAGGGGTGTCGTATCTATATATAGGAGTGGTTTTGTACTCACCGAGGAGTCTTAGTCTTGCTTGGAGACGACTATCAAGCTTGAGGTTCTTGATGACTTATCCTTATTTGGGCACACCATGTAAGACCGAGTGAGGCCGATTGGTTTGTTCGACGATTGGATTGGCTTGGATCATCAATAAGTTTTTCAGCCCGATTTAGAATACGTGGCAACTCAGAATTGGACCAGGCATATGAGCCCCGTCAAATTTTGTCAGCCCACACTTAACCAAATTTCTATTCAAACTCGTTAATTCATTATAGATTTTACCTAAGGTTATGTTTGGTTTGAAGGAAAATGTAGGGAAAGGTAAAGAAACTTTTACAACCCTTATATTTATTTCCTTGTCTTTCTCTTTCTTTCCCTACTTTTTACTTCAAACCAAACATAAATTAACCAAAAGGCTTGAACACCGTGAAGGCTTTGGGTGTCGGTGGAGCAGGACTCATGGGAATGTTGAAATAATTGATGCTTCTCTTTTCCTTTCTCTTCATCCCTATTCAGTTTTTATCATATTTTCTATGTTTAAAGCATAGATAGCACATGAATTTTGTGGTCTAACAACATTTTACTCCCATGAATATGAGTCATATTACTCCATAATTCATCCTCATGTGAATCAACTTTTATTTTCTAGGCTAAATTAATAACTAAAGAAATGTGTTAATATCATATTATAACTAAGTATGCATTGTGGTTTAAATCTTGTTTTATGTTTCCCTGCTGCTTCATTATTATTGTTCACTTACACAGACTTCATATATATAATTAAAAACCCAAAAATCATATATAGATGTCCAACCCATAAAATCATATAGCAAAAATCTTTCTTTTTATTTTCTCTATATCCTGCTTATATAAATTTTATTTTCTGTTGTAGTTCTGTTTCTCTATTTTGTTATTGAAAGTTTCTAATTTGGTGGGAGGGGTGAACAAAATCTTAAGCCTTAGATATTTTATTTAATTTTAATTAAAAATTTAACTTATTCAACATATTTTCCTTTGGTATTTATGATAGGATAACATTTTACTTTCTCATAGTTTTTTTTCCTGTGTTTTCCTAAAAACTTCTCTGGTATATGCATTTCTAAAATTTGAAATTTGATCAAAGTTATGATGATGAATTAAGTAAGCAGATTGACCTGTAGTAAGAGAAACAAATATTTTCAACACATGGTTAAACCATCTGGTAAAAGTTAACCCGTGCTAGATAATAATCAG